GCCAATCAGAATGGAGTAATTTTTTCAAGTGTATTATTAGACTCGTTACGGGCGCCTTTTCACTCTAGAGCGGTTTTCGATTAAGTATCGTAAAACCGAAACCAAACCAAAGCAATTACAATGGCCAATCACAATGAACGAAAACAACGCAATGAGGCAATGACTATGAGAACTCGAAGCAAATACATGTAACCGGCGCCAAACGCGAGAAAACGCGTGTGACCTACAAATCGCGATTGGTTTTGGTTTTACAGCTGATTGGTTGAGTGGCGGTGGCGCGAGTTTTTTAAACCAATCACAGAGCGTAGTAAAGCAAAACCAAAGCAATTCCGAATTAGAGCGGTTTTCATTTGAGTGTCGTAAAACCAAAACTAAAACCATGATTGGTTTTGGTTTAGCATCTGATTGGTTGAGTAGGTGGCGCGAGGTTTTTTAAACCAATCACAGAACGTAGTAAAGCAAAACCAATTTCGGATTACTTTCGACACTCAATTGCAAAACCGCCCTAATCAAGAAACCCCCTACAGGCTGCAGGCTAGAAACTACCGGGATCGTCAGCAATCAAATTTATCATGCCCTTTACTGTTTTTAATCCAAAAAAACGACTTATTGCACTTTCAATTCTCTGTTTACATTTCAGACTTTATTGGGGATACGTTCACTGCGAAGTAGAAGGACTGGTGCGGATAGACGAGGGCTTTCCTGATCTTATCAGGGGACCTGGTACTAGAGTTCTTGAGTAGAAAAAACGATTTACTTTGTCATCCGTTTTGGTGACCAAACAATCGCGATTTGGATGAATGATGTCAAAAACGTCATCTACTTTCACGACCCGCGGATATTCCACGACGTAACAGCGCATATCCCCGAGTTCAAATTGTTGCAGGAGGTTTGCGGCACGTACATCAGTCTGCACGGTTCATATTTGCACGAAATGCTTATTTACTGGAAAACCGCGTCAAGGGACAATCATTCAACTTACTGGGTTCCTTCCATTCAACCAATCAGCAACATCTGTCCGCTGAGCACGCGTTTTGATTGGCGGGTCATGGGAGGCCCTCCGTACGGTTGGGAACCAAAACCATGCGTGCTGAAACCGGTTTGGAACATGGGGAATATGCACCGAGGAAGGAACATGATGTAGGGACCATGAATGTGATATTGTCGTACATATGTAGTTGGAGATGCGGTGACCTAATGTTTACCGCGTTGGACCCCGGACCAAGTGCTTTGAACTCTGGCCGTGGTCATTGTGTTGTGTTCTTAGGCAATACCCTTTACTCTAGTAGTTCAGTTTTAAGTGAAATTTTATTTTATAGCTAAACAAATGAATGTAAAACTATGTAACTAATACTGAAAACGATTTGTAATGCAAGGCTATTACTACGTGATGTTTTCATTATTACAAAACGTAGCTTTTTAATAAATACTTCAGGGATAAATTCCGGGTGCGACTGCCATATTCAAGTGAGGGGAGGGGGAGGGGGGGGGGGGGAGGGGCAGGGGGGTGATCATCGTACCTGTTAGGGTTTTTAAATCTAAAATGATCACAGTCAGGGTTATCCCGCTACCTTTTAGCTTTTAGCTCCGGTATTAAGCCAGAAGAAATAGTTTTGTCTTAGACTTGGTACCTTTTGGGGTGAATTCTAACCGTCAATTTCCTGTCCGGCCGGTTTTCGCTCGCCTTGAGTTCTCAGCCACTTGGTCTTTCTGGATCGAGGATACCGGGCTGAGATGTCCAGAATTTGAAGCATGGTTTCTTTAGAACCCCTTACGAAGCTGTGTAACTTATAACTGTGATCTTACAGTATACTCTCTCCTTGCGACCACTTCTCGTAAGCGACCACCTCCCGTAAGCGATCACTTACGAAATCTGTTCCAAGTTCAAAAAGGGACTGGGCACTAGGTTGCCTATTGTTCAAATTACGTCATATTAAAAAATTAATCCCATCACCAGAAAGATCGCATGAAAATGAGTAAGTTCACCAAGTTTGGTTATGTTACATTACATAGTAACCAGGCTGTGAGCTGTCAAAGGTCGCCCAAATTCCATACAAACGTCTCTATTTCAGAGATGGCGTCCCCCAAATCCATACAAAGTCTCTAATTTTTCTGATTTTTGAAATCCTTCTACATGGTTGCAATCTAACGAAACAACCTCAAACTTGGTAAACTGACTAATTTTAATGTGATCTATCTTGTGACGGGCTCCAATTTTTAAATTAAAATTTAAAAACTCGTCCCCAGTCTCCATTTGAACTTCGGAACGGGCAATTTTTTTGACGACTCCTCGCGCCCTCGCGCCCCGCCCCCTACCCTGCGAGACAGAGATTGACTTCTCTTTCGGCGCGCGCGCGAAAAGAGAAGTGAATCTCTGTCTCGCAGGGTACCCGCCCCCGTACCCTGAGTAGTTTTGTCCTCTCCCCAGATTTCGCTCGCCAAATTATCCAAGATGGCGTCTCCATGATCGAACTTGACGATTTCAAAACAAATATATAAGCTTAATATAGACGGCCTGTTCACAGTCTTAGTTTTTTAAACATATATTTTCGTCTTTTAGTCACTAATGGATCTACCGGACAAAAATGTTAACTATAAATTCAAAGAGTATTGGGATAAACGCTACACAAAAGAAGACAACTTCGAGTGGTGCAAAGGCTACGACGATTTCAAACAGTTAATTCACGAACACGCGAGAAAATGCGATAGAATTTTGATGTTAGGCTGTGGAAATAGCACGTTAAGCGAAGAGATGTACAAGGACGGGTACAGAAATATTGTAAATATCGACTTTTCACCAGTGGTGATTGAAAACATGAAACGGAAATGCAAGGACTTGGTTGAGATGGAGTGGCTGGTAATGGATATCATGAGTATGACGTTTTCTACAAGCTCGTTTGATGTTGTTATCGAGAAAGCAACATTAGATGCTCTCATGGTGGGAGAAAAAGATCTTTGGAATCCATCAGAAGAAACTCGGCGCAGCATGGATTGTGTTCTCTTGAAGGTATATATAAACCCGGGGGTGTCTAGAAAGCTAAGACCTAAGACCCGGAAACCTAAGACCCGGAAACCTAAGACCCCCGTATAAAATCGTATTCCATGAATTTACCGCCTTGAGGTGACTGAGGTAGTAAAGCTCTATCGTAATTTCTCAATGTTTATGATTTTAGCGAGATATAAGCATTTGAAGTTTCATTTGAGGGCCGTTTTTGGCGGAAACACGACTACTTAAAAACATGGAAAGCTAAGACCTGGAAACCTAAGACCCGGAAAGCTAAGACCTCCGTTTAAAATCGTATTCCATCAATTTATCGCCTTGAGGTAGTAAAGCTTTATCGTAATTTCTCAATGTTTACGATTTTAGCGAGATATATAAAGCATCTGAAGTTTCATTTCTTGGGACGTTTTGGGTGAACCACCTCGCGCCGGCTATTCAAGTTATAAAGAATGTCAAGATTGCGAAACAGTCACACAAGTTAAAAAAACTCCACTCTGCTTCCAGGCAAGTTTGAAAGGAAAATTAAAATTATCGACTTCTCTTTGCATCTTTAAACGCCTAGACAGTAAGTTCTGTGTATCTGCAAGCCAGACCGCGCACAGCACGCGAGCGTGACATTGGAAATTAAGGCTAATATAACACCAGAACCCCCCAAAAGTCCTCAGATCGCAAATTTCAAACCCCCAAAATCGGCCAAGGCGATAAATTGATGGAATACGATTTTATACGGGGGTCTTAGCTTTCCGGGTCTTAGGTTTCCAAGTCTTAGCTTTCCATGTTTTAAGTAGTCGTGTTTTCCGCCAAAACGGCCCTAAAATGAAACTTCAAATGCTTATATCTCGCTAAAATCATAAACATTGAGAAATTATGATAGAGCTTTACTACCTCAAGACGGTAAATTCATGGAATACGATTTTATACGGGGGTCTTAGGTTTCCGGGTCTTAGGTTTCCGGGTCTTAGGTCTTAGGTCTTAGCTTTCTAGACACCCAATCGAACACAATCGAACGTTCAATTATCGAACGGTTTGGCATTCAAACTCAATCGTCAAGAGATGCTGTCCGAACAAAATCGAACTGGATTCGGTTCGATTGCATTCAATTTTGTTCGAATCAGTTCGATTTTGTTCGATTGCGCTCGATTTTGTTCGATTGGTTCGATTTGTTCGATAATCGAACTCACACAAAATTAGATGTTCGATTATGTTCATGATTGCCGGTATTCCGAAATAGATTAATACTGACAGTTGACCACAATATGAACCGGCCCTAAATATGCTTAAAATGTGCATTAACTGTAAACTTTATAACTGTGGTCAACTGTATTAATCTATTTCGGAATACCAGCAATCATGTATGTACAGTGTATGTGTTTGTTTCTTTTTTCCAGGGTCCATTAGTTGTCGTTATAGCCTGTCCCAGGCATTCGGTTAGTAGAGAGCGACACAAAGAATACTTTGTTCGCACTACTCCCACAAACTAGCCTGCGTGCAGACGTCTCCTATTTCCTTGCTTCACGCAGAAAAGTGGTCTGCACGCAGGCTACCCACAAACCGAACGCCTGTAACAGGCTATCGTTGTAATCATGATTGACAGCCGGAACTTCAGAGTTCGCCTGTCATTGAATGGCACCGACAGTAATTTTGGTTCCTTATTTTGACAGGTTTCCCAATTTTGAAGGAGGGAGGACGTTTCATGTCTGTGACATTTTCACAGCCTCATTTCAGGAAGCCTTTCCTTGCCAAGTCGCAGTATAACTGGTCAATTTCTATGCAGACATTTGGTGACTCCTTTCATTTCTTTTTCTATGTGATGGAAAAAGGCAAACCAATGAGTGAAGGTGATAAGAAGTTGGAAATTTCTGTGAAGAATAAAATGAACTGCGAGAAAGACAAAGAGGAGCAGAGTGATTCGTTTTGTGAATTAGCAGAAGACACGGAAGATTTCTTATTCAATATAGCTTTATAGCAGTGGAGACTGGAGACCGCTTACGATTCTGAGTTCTCCCAACAGGAGGTGAACCTATGACCTTCCGCATACCGGTCGGACGCTCTACCACTGAGCTTCAGAGACTGGGAGTTTTAAGGCCATATACAGTAACTAGGTTCAAATGTGGCAAACTTCCTGCATAACTGCTAGGATTAGTTTTGTTGATGTGTGAGATGTGTGGAAAGAAATGATGGTACACTCCTTTTTTTGTAAGAATATATATTTTCATGCCCAGGCTGAATATTCTTATTTTTATGCAGATTTTACAGTGTAGGCTGAAAATATTCTTAATACATAATTTGTTAGATTACAGAGTACAGTATTTCAGTAAAATAATACGGATGTGACCAGGAAAACCTTTATTTAAGAAACTGAGGAAAGAAGTATACATGGTACATACAGTCAAACCTCCGCTAATGGACACCTCCTGTAGGTGGACACCTCTCGTAAGTGGACACTTAGTCATGTACCCAGCTACATACAAACACTACATTTTTAACCTCCCATAAGCGGACCTCTCTTACAATATAAGTGGACACTTATTCTGGCTGAGGGTGTCCGCTTACGGGAGGTTCAACCATATTTACATGTACCATACTTTTCAATGGTTTAATAAAGTTATTTTTAAAACATTGTGATTGTATTGTATTTTAATCAAGATGTGCTCAAACTCCTGCTCTGAAATTTGACCCCAAAATTCCATACTACAGATGTAGCTCTGATTCATTGTTGCTTATTTTTTTAATTTTCACGTGCAAGTAATAGCCAAGAAAGGGTTGAATCTCAAATGTCAAGCAGGAGAAGAAGAAGAATTATTGTTAAGCACATGAAGAGAGTCCGGCATCTTTTGAGCTTTATAATGGCTTGTCAGCATACAATGTTAATTCATTCTGATCTCAAAACGTTTCTCGAAAAAGCCTTTTAAGGCTGAAACTTTCCACAAAAGAGCGATACAAATATCCCACAGACCCTAACGTAAGTGAAATAAACCACAATGAAACAAACTATACAAGGATGGACAAGATATTTCACGATATAAAAATCTTGTTGTGATTCTCGTGACGAGTTTGAAAAAACTAGGCTAGTGCTTTCAATGTTTTCACGCTTTGATGCGCATGCGCCGCCGTGACCTCTAGAGCTCCTTTAAAAATGGAGATAAAGATGATTCCTGTCAGTGCGGCAGCCATAACCTGGCTCCTGTAATCACATTTGACTGACAAAATCTGCCAATAAAGTGGCAGGGTCCAAGTATTCCACTATGACGTTCTGTACCACTGAATGGAGACTCAATAAAACTTGATGGAAGGCTGGGCAAGGACGGCTTTGTGTCAGCTTAAGTTCATCAAGTTTTCTTGGCCTGATGCGTTGAAGAGATGAAGCTAAGACTGACAGCGATTCTGGAAAAATGAAATTGAAACTACATGCAAGAAAGAAAGAAAGAAAAATAAATAAATAATTAAAGCAACTAAATCCTTTGAAATCTACAGAAATGTACAGTAAAGGCAAAGACCCAGGGGGACTCCCACATAAAAGTGATAGGATTGATAAATGAACCCCTAAAAGGTACTTTTCCCCCAAGAGGTACCAGTCAGTTCCTGTATACAGTCAACTCTCTCTAAGATGGACACCATTGGGACCGGCACCAACTGTCTGCCTTAGAGAGGTGTCCTGCTTATAGAGATCTTAGATACAGTAAAATGACAGAAAAACGGCTCGTAGGGACCAACACCAGGTGTCCGTCTTATAGAGGTGTCCGTTATGAGAGAGTTCACTGTATATATTATTTTTCTGGCCTCTAAATGTACTAATGGTGGCTATTTTAGAATTAGACACCCTATAAAGTAAATGGGTAACTTATAATGAATACTAAGTACATGTAAATAATATGGTACATGTACCCTTGGTACGACAATTACCACCGTCACCCCAGGGGCAAATGTTGTCTATGAGTGACAAGTGCCCATGGCATGCAACTTGCATGTAGCCCTGGTTACCTAAAGCTGTGCAGTTACTGTAAAAATCCAATACAATAAGCCCTGGGCTATCCCTATGGGAATCAAGCTTCCTGCCCTCTCTTTTCCAACCTCCCATAGACTTCCTGTCCCTTTTGCCCCTGGGTTCCTGCCCTGGCCCAGCCTGTCCCTCCCATGAAAATTATGTGACGCGCTTGCGAAACTTCACTGGAAGTTGCTGCAGCGCCGCAGGGCTGAGCATCGCGCCATCTTTATGTATAAATCTATTAATAATTATTTTTGTCACTCATTTCAATTTTCATTTAACAGAGAGTTTCATGACCATAACACCAGGTCCAGAAACAACATTCGTAAGTCTGCTGCAAATAGGAGATGGGGCCATTGGTCCTCCATCAATTTTGCAGCAGACGTATGGAATTCCTTGGACATCTCCCTACGAGATTCCAGTTCATTATTTATTTTCAAGCGTAACATCAAGAAAGCCATTTTCTGATTTTTGTTATTATTATTATTCTATATGTTTCAATAATTTAGTTAGTAGTTAGTTATTTAGTTAGTCAGTCAGCATTTTATTTATTTATATTGTAAATAGCTATCTTATTCATCTTCATATATACATTATATAATATACATAATCCTAGAGGACCCCTCTGTAAATCACCCTCCAGTGAAGTTGGCATCCTCAATAAAGATTATTATTATTATTATTATTATTATTATTATAAGGGCATCACCAAAATGGCATTCAGTATTGAATAGAGCCCTTGGAATTAAAAGAAAAAAACCCTACCTCAAGTCTAACTTTGTTAGTTTTGAAAGCTGACTTGGATGAGAGAAAACTTGAGATAGAGCGGACATATCAGCATTACCTTAAAGACAATAGAATAATAAAAATAATTAAATGTGTTGTGCTTCACAAAAGGAAAATGAACACAGCGATGGGTACATTCCTGTTGCATCTAGCTACAACGTTTGTGATTAATTTTCGATAACTCTTTGCATTGACAGCTTAATTTCTGATCACTTCCATTTGATTTGACCAATATTACAAAATTATACGCCTCTCAAAGTTTTTTTATACTCTTGTTTCACCGGTCGAAAAAAACAAAAAACAGATGCTCTCGCAGGCTAACTACTACACTAACAGGCTCCTTATCCTGCTTTAATAACTGTACAACTGGACATCTACCATCAAAGTTGAGAAAAAAACCTAAAAACATACTATATTAAAATCGAATTAGTCCTGAAAACGTTTTTTTAGATTGGTTGTAATTCAAATGGTGTATGTTTAAATGATGATCAGTTAGGTTTCTGTTCCAGAAGCAGTATTTTTATTTGTTATAAAATTAAATGTTCTATTTTTTCATAACAATGAAAATAGAGGCAGTACTGTGGCGTGAAAATACATAATGAAGCCCTGCATCTAAAAAATACATAACATTAAAATTTAACCCATTGACACCTGGGCTTTACCCAAAAAGCGGCAATCTAACATCCCAGATGCCTATTTCTGGCCATTATCTCGACAGTTTAATGTCAAACTGTCTAAAACTTAGTTTAAAACACAGCAACTAACATCCCCTTCTACGTAGAAGCAACAAATTCAATATTTTCCTCGGGCATGCGCAGAAATCAAAATTTCGACATAGTTTTTGGGTTTGAAAAACCCACCTGACTTTAGGCTTTTCTTTTCCTTTTATTTATTTTGCCGTTCTTGCTCTCCTTTTTCTCTCATTTTATTTTGTGGTTTTGTTGGCCTTTCAGTCGCCTTTGTTCACGTTGAAAAAGTTTTAACTTAAACGTTGGGAAAAGGGAATTTTTTTGACAAAGAGTGTCAATGGTAGTGAAGGTCGCGTTTTTTGGTGATTTTGGAAGAAAAAATCCAAGTTGTTTTGTGTGTATCTCTGGTCCAATTTAACGTTTCGTGCTCGTTTAGGCATGGTTTGTTAGACATTTTCCAACTCTATCCGTTGATTATCAAAGACATCCTCTGGCGTTAAAAGTGATGACGTCACAAGTGGTACAAGTTCGTGGTCTCCTCTTGGCCGGTTATGGCCGGTATGGGCGTCAATGTGTTAAAAGCTAAACAATTTTTAAATACTAAATGCTAATTACATTAAAAGGCTAGAAATATGTTACTAAAAAATTATGATAAAAGAACGTTTTGCCAGGTGGGAGAAATGTTATTGAATTTAAAATCTCTGGATACCAACCTTCCCCTGCGAAATAAAATTCCCAGCTTTTTGGGAATTTCTAGGAATTCCTAGGAATTCCTACTAGAAATTCTCAGAAATTCCAAACCATGCAGATTAGACAAATATCTTAGGTTTGGAAATTCTGGGAATTCTTGGGAATTTCACTTTACATAATGTAACTGTTTGGAATTCCTAGAAATTCCTAGGAATTAAGTTTCTAGTTGAGGTCACCATAGAGCCACCCTGTTAAAATAAAGTTTTACTTTACTTTTAGCAATGCTGCAACATCCTTACCTAATCCGTTTCTTGCCAACTTCAAACTGGTCAGTGTGTTGTTAATGCATAATGCATGAATCACCTTTTTGCTTAAACCTATCATGAATAATGTTTGGAAGAAAAACAAAATAAATTGAAGTGGATTGAATAGCTACTTATTACTAAAAGTCATTTTCGTTTTCACTGATAACTATCAATGTTAGTTGTCTGCCAGAGTCGCAATTGCAGCCACAAACCTTTTTAATTACCTAAGTCTGGAAATAGACTGCAAGCAGTGATCTCTCTTTTGTCAGTTGGGTCTCCGAGGATGTGTTTGATTATGACAAAAGTTCTAATTAATATGTCAGCATAGATCAGCAGGCTAGCTGTTCGACAATATCAAAGATGGGATGCTGTAAATTATTAGGAGCCAGGGGCTTGTAATCACGCAGCTATTTACAAAAAATTGTAAAATGTACCTCTGAGGTCACAACTACCAAGGTCCAGGTCAGTTAGCGTGTTGTTACAAACCAGCATCTCAGCAAGACTGTCGCAGTTGCTGGGGTCATAATGGTTACCTTTCACACACAAGTGTTTCAGATATCTGTTACCTACATGTAACAAAATTAAAAACAAACAAATAGTAACAGTAACTGTAAGAGCTGTAG